ACATCTGGTTGACTCGACTCGCCGAGTTGGTTAATTCCCCAACTCGTTGAGTCCCCATATCCAAAAAAGCCACAACGTCGTCCCTACTTTTCAAGTCTATCAAGAGCGTGACGAGTTCGCCTTTAACAACATATCGGACCTTCTTCAGCCGAATCATCGAGTTCATCCTTAAACTCACCGAGTTCATCTTCATCTGCGTGGATGAGTTCAGTCTATGACTCACTGAGTTTCCCCCTGAACTAGTCGAGTCCGTCTTCATGTGTTTGGGGCATTGCCTCGAACTCACCAAGTTAGCTCATATACTCACTGAGTTTGATGATTTCCAGGCCCCTAAAGAGCCTAAACAACCTAGGGACCTTCCGTCATAGCATCTGGTCCATCAACAGAAGGATTTGATGGAAAATACGTCCCGACTTGCCGAGTCCCATGAACGACTCACCGAGTCCCACTTTGTCCCAAACTATACAGTCGGTTATAATGGGTCTTAATGCATCAAAACCATAGATCTGACCTCCTAAGGTCCATTTTATACATGAAGTTCCAACCTTGATGTCCATGCATGGGGTTTTGGCTCAAAAAGCCATAAAAAGGGGTTTATATGTTGCATGGGTCTCCCATGGCCATAAAGTTGGCACCTCTTATGCCATGGGAACCCTCAATGGTTCCAGATCTGAAGTGTAACTACAAGCACACTCACAAAACCTGATTATAACTTGACAAACTCATAAAAGGGTAGAAAATAGCCCCAAAACAAGATCTAAGAGGTAGATGGTCAAGGTTCAATCTTTTTACCCTGAATGAACTAAAAATGAAGCAAAACCTTTGGATTTGCTACCTTCCACTTGAACTCCCACGCTTTCTTATTCTCTTCCAACTTCAAATGCATACAAAGTCACCAACAAACTCAAGAACACTCAACAGAGGCTTAGGATTCGAGTTAGGGCTTTCACTGGGTTGGGAGGAAAAATGGAGGTTGGGTTGGGGCGTTATAAGTTGTTTAAATAGGGTGCAAACACTAAATATTAGGGTTTCATCCCGACAATCCTACTCGTCGAGTTGGTCTCCCAACTCATCGAGTAGGTCACTTATCCCACCGATCCACAGTCGAGTCTACTGGACGAGTTGGCCCTCTAACTCGCCGAGTCTAGAGCAAACCATGAGTTTACTTTAATTAAAATACGTACCAGGAACCGAGTGTTACATTAGTCCCTTAAAAAACATAGAAATAAATTAGGGACTAAACGTGTCAACCCTAAAAAGTTTGTGGGTTATATGTGTCATTTTTCCTTTTAAAAATTTTCAAATACATCTCTTAATTAATTATAGAAACATATAATCTTACATATTTTTTTTATGTAATTTTATATATTTCAGCTAGTTTTTCAGTTAGTTTTACTAAACGTTATTTTTTTATCAGCTATCTTTTTATTTAACAACTAGCTTTTCAGCTATTATCTAGCTAATTTATCAGCTTCCTTTTTATTTAACAGCTAGTTTTTTAGCTATCAACTAGTTCGCCAAACATAATCTAAGTCAAGTAACATACATTAAGTATTTTTGATTAAAGGTTGTTATAATCTTTAAATCCACGTTATTCATAGAATGTATGTGATATATATTTAGGAAATATCTTTTACGTGATGATCAAGAAAATATTATATACCCTATTCCAGTGGATAAATATTAAACATCATTATCTAGAAGTTTCGTTACTTGTCTATAGCCTTCCGATTTCCGAAAATCCTTTATCGACTACAAAAACCCTTCTTTCTCCCCTAACATCTCCACATAATCTAACAACTTTCAACAAGCTACACCGCTAATACCAGCCTTATCGCTGTAACCACGGACGTTAGCATAAGACCACCGCAGGAATGGCTACTACCCTAATTCTCAAGCGAAGCACCGCCGCATCTTCTCACTATACCAAGATCTTTAAATCTATTCGCTCCGTCTCCGCTATTCCCTCCGTCCAACGCTCCTTTAACACTAATGCTTCTCAGGTGTCCGCTTATGAAGATTTCCACCGCAGTATCGATGAGGATCGCTCGTCTGGTTCCTCTGGTTTTCGCCGCCGTGACAATGATTTTTTCTCAGGTGAGTTCCATGTTTCAAGTATTGTTTTTCGTTTGACACTCATATTTATTTGTTTTCATACGTATTTGATTTGTGTTCTCTGTATTAACCTTCTGAAGTCGTGAGAATTCCTATAATGAAGTCTCTTGTCTCTAATAACTTCCAATATGTTCTTCGATTCAGTTTTTCCAGCGAGAAGCTTGAGCGAGATCTTTAACATGATGGACCAATTCATTGACACTCCATTCATCTCAGCCTCTCGCGGACGAGGATTAGGAGGAAGGCGAGGATGGTATGCAAAGGAAGACGAAAACACTATGAATCTCCGATTCGACATGCCAGGTCTGGACAAGGAGAACGTCAAGGTCTCCGTTGAGCAAAACACATTAATTATCAAAGCGGAGGAGGAGAAAGATTCTGAGGATGATGAAGAGGCGCGGCGGAGGTACTCTTCCAGGATTGATCTGCCGACGGATGTGTACATTCTGGAGGAAATCAAGGCGGAGATGAAGAATGGTGTGTTGAAAGTTGTGCTTCCGAAGGTGAAAACGGAGGAAAGGAAGGATGTGTTTCAGGTCCAAGTAGAGTGAATACCTTGAAGAAAAGATGTTAAGATAGAGATTGAATTAGATAATTTTGGAGTGATAAATATTTTCTTTGTTTTCAGGATTCTGTTTTTTCTATATTATCTTTTATTTTTTTTTTATATGTATCGGTGATTTTGGATTTAATAAAAGCCGATATATTTTGCCAAATTCACAGCGAACTGATTTTGCAAAATTTACTTGGAATTAGAGCCAATATGTATAAAAAACCCAAACCCTAAACAATGTCGGTATTTTATATTTTACCATGTGACATGTTATAGCTTTTTTTTTATCTGTGAGGTACTTTTTTGTAATTTGGGATTATTTTATGAATGCTAGCGTCATATGCTTTCGGGATATCCAGAAGTTATTTTTCCCATCTCTTAGAATATTTCTCTCTATCGCTACCTTTACCATAACAAGTGTATCAGAGCAAGGCCGATCATACCGGATACAATCATGACATGCAGTCAAGAGCTCGATAAATCTATCAAAGATCATGTCAGACAAGGCCATTGCAGACATTCAAGCAACCCTGGCAGCCTTGATGAAGCAATATTAGTAATCACTGACCTGTAATATTTTATTAGAAGGATTACTCGTACTTCAAGCCGATACATCTAATAGAAAAAAAAAAAAAAACGAACCGAGTATGAAGAGTCTTTTTTTCCCTTGCGTTGCGTGAGTCGATTACTCGATTATACGTATTCGGTTCTAGTCGACTATCCTAATTCATACCGAAAAAACCAAATACAATTACATATTCGGTTCTATCGACATCCACAGTTAATCATCCGATTGTTTTTTTGATCGACAATTGGCAATTTCAGCATACGCAATTGATATCGACGCCAACTTCTTGATCATCCGATTGTTTTTTCAAGATCGACGACGACAATTGGCAATTTCATCCGATTGTTTTTTCAAGTTCTTTATGCCGACAGCTTTGCCTTTGATCGAGATTAGGTTTTGATCAACTTCCTTGCTTCAAACTTCTGTGATTCGTCTCCTCATATTGTTTTCTAGTTTATACTGTGATTAAGTTCCATTCAATTCATGGAAAATTGGGTTCCAAATCAAGAAACACAAGTAAGTATTTGTATCTTAATCTATTATTCAATGTCTCAATCTTTCAAAGTGTTATTATGTATGTTACTCATTGAAAATTGGATGTGATAATCTACTACTTAATCTTTCAATGTGATATTAACAGTTAACTTTTTTTTTTCTATAAGTCCAAGCAATGGGGACTTTGATCTTGAATGAGCACCTTGCATAAGAGAATTTAATGAAAATAACCATATATGCTCTTTTACTTGTGTCATTCCATATTGATGAATTTATTTAAATGCTATTATGCTTTAGATATATGATGCATCTATTTTGTTATTATGTTTTAGATTGATGATGAAGATGTGTTTGTTGATAACACATAAGTTGAAGGAACAACAAGTCAAGCAACAAACCCGAAGAAAAGGAAATATACCCAAAGGGTGGCTTGTTGGAACGACTATGATGTAGTTCATATTGACAAAGTTAGACATAGCAAATGCAAAAAATGTGGAACTTTGCTCAAAACCGAATCCGACGCAAACGGTACGTCTAGTATGATTAAACATACGGAAAGATGTAAAATGAACCCAAAAAATTAAAAAAAAAAAAAAAAAAAAAAAAAAAAAAAAAAAACAATTAAAATTTAAAAAAAAAAAAAAAAAAAAAAACGGAGAGAATAGTATTGGGACTTGGAAGCATGATGAGAAAAGAATAAAAAAAGTTTTGTTAAACTTATTGGTAGTTGGAGAATTACCGTTCAAGTTTGTAGAGAACGAATCATTTATTGAGTATACAAATGCATTGAACGAGAAAGTAATTTTGACATGTAGAACCACAATTTCAAATAGAGTTACCGATTACTTTCTTGAAAAAAGGGCTAAGTTATTTAAGTTCTTTAATAATCTCCTAAGTAATGTGCATTTGACGACCGATTGTTGGACAAGCTCATGTCAAAGGTCGAGCTATATGGTGGTCACGGCCCACTTTATTGATGAAGATTGGGTCATGCATAAAAGAATTATCAACTTTAAATCTCTAGATAGTCATAAGGGAGAAGACATTAGGCGCATGTTGTTGACTTGTCTTCAAGAGTGGGGTATCAATAACGTAATGACCATAACCGTTGACAATGCTAGTGCAAATGACAAAGCAATCGAAATTCTAATGAAAAAGCTATCGAACTTGTACGATGGGGGGAAACAATTACACGTAAGGTGTATGACCCACATCCTTAACCTAATTGTTAGGGATGGGTTTGATCAACTCTAATCTAGTATCAAGTGCATGCAAAAGGCCGTTAAATACATTAGGAATTCTACACAACGGATTCAAAGGTTCAAAGAATGCATGAAAGAGCTAAATGTGGAATCCAAAAAGTTTTTGTGCAATGATAGCCCAACTCAATGGAACTCCACATATGAGTTATTGAAGATTGCGGTGGAGTGGAAGAAGGTTTTTGGCATGTTTGAAGTCAAAGGTAATTTCATATTCCATTCCATTGGTTTTTTTTTTTTTTTTTTTTTTTTTTTTTTTTTTTTTTAATTTTATATTTCAGCATTTTTAGCCAACGTTGAAGAGTCATAACATGTTCGTTATTTGTCCGATTAGGCTGATTTTTTTCCCATCTTGTAGTTTACAATTTGTACTATAGTTTACACTATTTATACGTGTTGTTTGGTTGTATATTCAGTGAGTTATAGGCCTCTAAACATTGGATATTAAATATGAGTTTTTCTGTTTCAGCATTTTTCCAAAATTTTAGCCAACTTTGAAGAGTCATAATGTCTTCATTATTTGTCCGATTAGTCTGATTTTTTTTGCAGCTTGTAGTTTACAATTTGTACTACAGTTTACACTATTTATACGCGTTATTTGGTTGTATATTCAGTGAGTTATAGGCCTCTAAACATTGGATATTAAATCTGAGTTTTTCTGTTTTAGCATTTTTCCAAAATTTTAGCCAACTTTGAAGAGTCATAACGTCTTTGTTATTTGTCCGATTAGCCAGATTTTTTTTCCAGCTTGTAGTTTACAATTTTAACTACAGTTTACACTATTTATACGCGTTATTTGGTTGTATATTCAGTGAGTTATAGGCTCCTAAATAAGGGGTATTAAAGCTGTTTTTTTTTTTTTACAAAAATAAATATTAACATTTACTTTTTTGTAATAGATCCTACATTTGTTCGAGACGTTTTGACCCCCTCAAAAGAAGATTTCAACATTTGTAGAGCTATGGTTGGATTTCTTGAGAAATTTAAGGTGAAAAACGACATAGTATCGACGTCAACAAAACCGATGGCACATCGGTTTTTTGGAGAAATATGTGATGTATACAAACACATTAAGGAATGGGCGGGTAGTCCCCAATTTTGTTTGATCGGGAAGGACATGATTGATAAATACGATAAGTATTGGGGCGATCTTGAAAACTTAAATAATTTTTTTGTATTTTGCGGTCATATTAGATCCACGGTTCAAGTTTGATTTTCTTCAACAAGCTTTTGAGAAATTGATTAAGTTGAAGAATCCACAAAAAGATCCTATGCTCAACTCGGAAGCCATTTTGAAGGCTAAGGTCTTAATACGGGGTCTTCAACAAAGATTTGAGAATTTTTTTTATTTCTACAAATCAAAGTTTGACAATACCGACTCTTCTCAAAATCAAACACATGGTCATGAAGATGTAGTTGTGATTGATGATGAGAATGACTTCATGGGTGATTTAATAGTACAAACTGATTACCCATCAGCATCAATGGAAACGGAGTTGACACGATACCTAAACGAGCAGTCAGTTAAATATAATAAAGATTTTGATATTCTACTTTGGTGGAAACAAAATGCATCTCGTTACCCTATTGTATCCCGTATGGTGAAAGGTATAACTTTATTTTTTGTATACTTTTTTATATGATTATATTTTAACATTTTCTATGTTTATGCTGATAGATATTTTGGGATTGCAAATCTCTACCGTGGCGTCAGAGGTGGCGTTTAGTACAAGCGGGCGGATATTGGATCCATATAGAACAAATTTATCTGCAAATATAGTAGAGGCTTTGGTTTGCACTCAAGATTGGGTAAGGAAATCAAGAAAGCAAATTGTGGACAACATTGATGAAATTTTGAAAGACGATGAAGTCGCGAAAGCTTTAGAAGAGGCGATAAAGAACGGAGATGAAAAGGGAAAACAACCAATTAATATTCTCGAATAGTTATTTCGTGTTTGAAAAATGTTATTTTGGATATTGGATAAAAACTTAAGATTCATATTTTAATTTGGGTGTTGAATGTTTAATGTTTAACTTATATACTTATAGATAGATTTTTGGGTGTTTAATTTTTAGTGTTTAATTTGTTTCTTTAAAAGGTTTGTTATGAAATCATAAGCTACAAAAGTCATAAAGAATACAATATTTATTCGGGTTATTCGGGTTATATATTTATAGATAGATTTGGGTTATTTGGGTTATTCAGGTTATATAGTTATAGATAGATTTTTTGGTGTTTTGGATGTTTAATATTTAGTGTTTAATTTGTTTCTTTAAAAGATTTGTTATGAAATCATAAGCAACAAAATTAATGCAAAATATTCACGTTATTGGGGTTATTCGACTCCTTAATCATTTTATACATATTATTCGGGTTATATACTTATGAAATCATAAGCTTCAAAAGTAATACAAAATATTCGGGTTATTCGACTCCTTAATCATCTTGCACATGTTATTTGGGTTATTCGGGCCGGAACCGAACCGATCCGAATAATACCCGAACCGAACCGAACCCGTAATGTTTATTTGGTTTGGTTTTCGGTTCATACAATTTGCCTTATTCAGTTTGATTCGGTTCCGACCCGAATAACATCCCTAGATCATGACAAGGCCATTGCAGACATTCAAGCAACCCTGGCAGCCTTGATGAAGCAATATTAGTAATCACTGACGCATAATATTTTAGTAGGAGTATTACTCGTACTTCATGACGATACATCTAATAGAAAAAAAAGTTACACTACATGTTAGAAATTGGGCAGTGGCCCGGGACCCACCGGGCTCCACTAAGGTCCACCCCTATGAACAATCACTATGAAGCAACATGAACAATCACTAAAACAAGAAGACACTGCTTAATTGTCCCATGCGTATCGGTAAGGTTCCTTGTTTCTCAAGGGTTGATATTGGAGCATAGATCTATAGGTGTGAACACTTTTTTGCCACAGACAAGACTCCAAATAACATGAAACTACGATACACAAACCCTAAGGGCTACGGTCGCGGAACTTCCTCGGGAAGATTATGTGTGGGCTATTTCTAGTCGCTTTTCCAATGCGATGTTCGAAGATCCGATGGAAGAAATAACCTCTCTTACACAGGATGATGACCTCCATGATTACAACGCCGCTTTTTACGCTCTACTAAACAAGGCAACTTTGAGTGAAACCCAAGTTGTTAGCTTACATTTAAAACGTCCAAAACAAGAAATTCAGGGACCTGTGAAAATGTTTAAGCCTCGTATACTACACGAAGCATACGGGCTGGCCAAAATTCAAATATTAAACAACATCGCCTTGGAAAACAAACTGATGTCAGCTAAAGCGGGAGCAACCCACTCGAAAAACAGTAATGAACCGGGTCGAATTACACCTCCCTTTAATGTAACCAAGTTGCCCCTTTTACCGACTCCTAATACCCGATCCACAGGCGCGACTACCACGAAAATGGGGCCTAAGGTTTTAAGACGGCTCACGAGTAAGGAGTTAGAACTTAAACGGGAAAAAGGAGAATGTTTTTGGTGCACCGAAAAATTTGTACGGGTCATAAAGGCCAACGTAATCAATTGTTTATCATCGAAGTGGAGGACGAGGACGAGGCGAACCAGGAAGATATGGAAAATGAGGAAGTGTGTAACATCCCATTTAAAATAAATAAACCCTAAAACCCCGAGATATATTTTATATTTATATTTTATTTTAGCCTTAAATCCATAATAATTTATCGGGTAAATGTCATTGTAACCCAACAAACTTATGTCTTTTGTTTTAAATGGTCACTGAACTTTTTTTTCTGCATCGTGACTCCTTAAACTTTCAAATTATGTGTTAAATAGGGGAATACCCCAAAATAAAGGGGTCATCTGGTTTGTTTGGCTGAGCTGGCATCCACATGTGCCTTGGTCAACTGAAATTGTCCAAAAGGCACTGATGTGCCATCCACGTGGATTTTTCCTATTATTTTAAATAATAATTATAATAATAAAAGAATGAAATAAGATCTTAATGGTTTCATCTCGGATCCTCATCTAATGATACTCTGACCGAATATCAATCTTGGAAAACCATGATGCACCTTGGAGCTAATTGAACAAATCATCAATCCTTGGAAGCGGATAACGTTTCTTCACCATTAGCTTGTTCAGATCCTTATAATCAATACACATGTTGTGTGATCCATCATTCTTTTTCACAAGCTGAATCAGTGCTCCCCATAAGGAACTACTCGTATAAATAAATCCCCGTTCCAACAGCTCCAAAAGCTGCATAGACAACTCCTGCATCAAAGGCAGAGTTAGATCATACGAAGCCTTAGTTGTCGGAAATGCACCCGTCACTAAATCAATACGGAACTCCACTTGCCTCTCAGGAGGAACCACAGGTAACTCCTATGGAAACACATAAGGAAAATCTCACTCACTATGTACCCTGCTCATATATGGTGTGGCTTCCACCATTGTATCCGAAGCGTAAGCCAAAAACCCAGTACAACCTCACTGAAGAAGTCTCCTAGCCTTCACAGTTGAACAGGGAGCTGGCCCATGTGAGGATCTCTCTCCATGAATAAACAGTTCTCCCCTAATTGGGGTTCGAACCCTCACTAACTGACGTTCACAATCTATCATGGCCCCATTAGGCGCCAACCAATCCATTCCGACGATCACCTTCAATCCTCACAAAGGAATCAGAACCAAATCGATAGGAAACCTCTCCCGGAACATATTCAGAACACTCTTCTGAAATACCGTCGCAGCACTCACGGTGCGGTCATCCATAATATCCACCTTGAATGGGGAATCCAAAGTCCCCGAAGCATCACAAAATTTCTTGCTGAGCGTAAGAGATACAAAAGATCAAGTATCCCCCAAATAAAAAACAATCTGAGCCGACAAACCATTGACCAAAAAGGTCCTTATATAAAATCATAAAAACATAAGCATAATAATCAAATAAACAAAACAGAAATAGATCACACACCAGTTATGACGTCAGGTGCTGTTCGGACATCCTTAGTAGTTAGCTGAAATGCGCGACTTTTCATTGCAGGAGCTTCCGCCTTGATCGGGCGGCCATCTGTAATCCTTATCGTGGCAGGCGTAGGCGCCGCCACTGCTCCTCCTCTAACCAACCTTCGACAATCAGACTTTTATGATTGGTCTGGTTGCAATGGAATCAAATCAAGCCCTTCTTGGGGAAATCACGACTCATGTGACCAGGCTGGCCACACATATAACATGTTGAGCCCACTGCTCGACAGGCTCTATTGTGCGGCTTACCGAACTTGGTATAATAGCCATAACCCTATTGGCCCCTGCTGGGAGGATTGGAGGCCTTAGACTTTTTAGCCTGACCCACTGCTACCTGAACCTGCTCCGACTTCTGCTTCATGCAGAGCTCTAAATCAATTTCCCATTCGCGGGCCTTCTCCACCATATCGTTCAGGGTCTTGCACCCCGAAAAGCTCACAAACTCAGAAATATCAAATTAACCTCTTGGTTGATGATATGACCCGTATATTGCACCTCACACAACTAAAACTCGCATTTAGAGAATTTGGCATAAAGCCTCTCCCTCCTCAAGGTCTCCAACACCTCACTTAAATGTTGCTCGTGCTGCTCCTTGGTCTTAGAATATACCAAACTATCATTAATGAAAATAATCACAGACTAATCCAACATCGATCTGCAAACCACGTCTATGAGATCCATGACCGCTATTGGAGTATTAGTGAGCCCAAATGACATCACCACAAACTCGTAATGACCATAATAAGCTCTGAATGTCGTCTTCGGTATGTCTTCATCTCGGATCCTCATCTAATGATACTCTGACCGAATATCAATCTTGGAAAACCATGATGCACCCTGGAGCTAATTGAACAAATCATAAATCCTTGGAAGCGGATAACGTTTCTTCACCATTAGCTTGTTCATCTCCTAATAATCAATACACATGTTGTGTGACCCATCATTCTTTTTCACAAACTGAATCAGTGCTCCCCACAGGGAACTACTCGGATAAATAAATCCCCGTTCCAACAGCTCCAAAAGCTGCGTAGACAACTCCTGCATCAAAGGCAGAGCTAGACGATACGAAGCCTTAGTTGTCGGAAACGCACCCGTCACTAAATCAATACGGAACTCCACTTGCCTCTCAGAAGGAACCCCAAGTAACTCCTCTGGAAACACATAAGGAAAATCTCACACAATATATACCCTGCTCATATATGGCGTGGCTTCCACCATTGTATCCGAAGCGTTAGCCAAAAACCCAATACAACCTTACTGAAGAAGTCTCCTAGCCTTCACAGTTGAACACGAAGCTGGCCCATGTGAGGATCTCTCTCCATGAATAAACAGTTTGAACCCTCACTAACTGATGCTCACAATCTATCATGGCCCCATTAGGTCCCAACCAATCCATTCCGACGATCACCTTCAATCCTCACAAAGGAATTAGAACCAAATCGATAGGAAACCTCTCCTGGAACATATTCAGAACACTCTTCTGAAATACACTCACAGTGCAATCATCCATAATCTCCACCTTGAATGGGGAATCCAAAGTCCCCGAAGCATCACAAAATTTCTTGCTGAGCGTAAGAGATACAAAAGATCAAGTAGCCCCCAAATAAAAAACAATCTGAGCCGACAAACCATTGACCAAAAAGGTCCTTATATAAAATCATAAAAACATAAGCATAATAATAAAATAAACAAAACAGAAATAGATCACATACCAGTTATGATGTCAGGTGCTGCGCGGACTTCCTCAGTAGTTAGCTGAAATGTGCGACTTTTCATCGCAGGAGCTTCCGCCTTGATCGGACGGCCATCTGTAATCCTTATCGTGGCAGGCATAGGCGCCGTCACTGCTCCTCCTCTAAACAACCTTCGACAATCAGACTTTTATGATTGGTTTGGTTGCAATGGAATCAAATCAAGCCCTTCTCTGGGAAATCCCGGCTCATGTGACCAGGCTGGCCACACATATAACATGTTGAGCCCGCTGCTTGG